CTATACAATGCTCTTGTCAGACCACACTTAGAATATGCTTCAGTAATTTGGTCACCGACAGCTGAAAGCAACATTGATTTAATAGAAAGAGTTCAAAAAAAATTCTTGAGGTAGCTATATTTCAAACAATTTTCTATCTATCCAGTTTTTCCTTTGTTAATATCTTATAAAAGTATGCTTGAAGCTTTTAATATGCAAAGCTTGTGAGATAGAAGAATAATGTAGTCTGTACTTTTTACATATTGTATTCTAAATAATGTAAAATATAAGGATTCTTGTTTAATAAACTTTATTAAGTTCCATGTTCCTAAGATTAACTTAAGGCCTAGGGAATATAAATTATTTACAACCAGTCCTAGAACTTGCTCTCCTTTGAACAGGATGTTATCGGATTGCAATCGTATTTTAGCAGGGCAAAGCATTGATATGTTCAATACATGAGAAATAATCATCAGGTGCATGTTGTTGTTTATTATTGTTATAAGAAATCTGTGCATTATTCTTAAAAAAAAAATGAAGTTCAGCACATTATTTCGCCGAAAAATTTCAAAAAACTTTTATTCCCAACTATATTTTGAGTCTACCAATGCTGTAAAGCTATAACAAAGTACCATCGTTTTCTAATAGGTAAATATTATTAATATTTGGACTCCATATTTGTTTTTATTTAGTAACAGACATCTTGAAATAAAATTGTGGGAATAGGATAGAAGCAGACCATTTAAAGCAATATATTTCAGAGAGAAAAAATATGTATTTATAATGATGACAGAATTGACAGAAGTTATATAGTGGTTACCACAATATTCCCGTTACCAATGGTAACATAAATTAAAGTTATATACCTTTACTAAACACAGGTTTTCGAAACCTTTATAAACGCTCAATTTAAGCTCTTTAAAGGGTTTATAGGAGTAACAGAAATATTTCGGTAAATGGATATAAAACCTTAAGATATATAAAGAATGTGATATAACATTTACGGTAAATACTATAAAAACAAAAATGTTTATTGGGTTGTGATGTCACTACAGAGTACAGATGCGCGTTTCCATTTTGTTTTACCATTGTGTTGTGTGATTATTTTCATTACTTATAAATTTGTGTGCTGTGATTTTTTGAAGTGAAACTTCTTAGGCGACGATCTGATATTTGGACGACAATGGAATGATTTGAAAAACGCGTCATGTTTTGGCAAATTTCGTTACACGAGAGAGAAGACAGATATAACGTAAAGAAATGGAGAAAGACAGCTATTGATTGACACAAACCAAAGATTATAAGCGCAAAGAGGATTGCCTATTATTGACAAGCGCCGATAATCTTGTGACAGATGCGCGTCTTGCTTTTGCTATACTATTATCATTGTGTTGTGTGATTATTTTCCTTATTTATAAATTTGTGTGCTTCTTAGGCGAGGTCTGATATTTGGACGACAATGTAGAGTGATTTGAAAAACGCGTCACGTTTTGGCAAATTTCGATACACGAGAGAGAAGAAAGATATAACGTAAAGAGACGGAGAAACACAGCTATTTATTGACACAACCCAAGGATTATAAGCGCAAAGAGGATTGCGTGTTATTGACAAGTGCGGATACCGTTGTGACGTCACTATACAGATGCGCGTCTCCCTTTTGTTATACTATTATCATTGTGTTTTGTGATTATTTTCGTTATTTATATGTGCTGTGATTTTTTGAAGTGAAACTTCTTAGGCGGCGCGGCGGTCTGATATTTGGACGACAATGGAGAGTGATTCGAAAAACGCGTCACGTTTTGGCCAATTTCGTTACACGAGAGAGAAGAAAGATATAATGTAAAGAGGGTCCGTGCTTGGACCTCTTTCATTCTTGTTGTATATCAACGCCCTAGCAAAGGTAAGGACAGATGGCTCACTTTTGAATTTTGCGGATGACTCCACAGTGAAATGGCATAGCAAGGACCAGGTACTTCTCAAAAACGTACTAACAAGGAACATTCTTTGAATAAGAAACTGGTGTGATGCCAATGACTTTTGCCTTAACATTGATAAGACAAAAATGTTGAGCTTTAAATTTGATATTGATGATATCGAATTGGAGGACAGGATAACTAAGAATGTACAAAGTACAAAGTTTCTTGGGCTCTACGTGGACGACCGTTTAAAGTTTGATGTACATGTTGTTGCCTTGAATAGGAGACTGGCGTCTGGCTGTTATGCTGTGCGAAAAACTTTTACAGAGTTGGGTTGCGGTATTGCTAAATCTACCTAGTATGCACTTATCAAGTCTGACTTGAGATACGGCATTTCGTTTTGGGGCTACTGCAGCAGAGGTTTACTTAATTCGGTTTTTACAATACAGAAAAGAGGTATAAGATATATGTGCGGCAAAGGTATGAAAGACCACTGTAGACCGCTCTTTTTGAGAGAGCAGATTTTGACGGTCGTTTGTTTATTTATATTGGAGACGGTTTGTTTGATATTTAAAAAATATGGGGATCACACTCATGCTTATTCTTACAGTACTCGAAATCGCAACGATGTTCCACTCCCAATGCCTAGATTTGCTTTGACCAGACACTCAGTAATATTCGAGAGTATTAAGATTTATAATAAACTTCCAAATTATTGTAAGTCTTCTGGAAACTATAGAGGGTTTCGTAGGTGAATTAGAAATTTATTAAAAGAAAAGGCTTACTATGATTTGGCTGAGTACTATGGTGACACTTTCTAGCATTTAAGAACTTAATGAGTCAATTTATTTATGACTTAGGGCTGATTTTTGCTGTTCGCTTTTATTAAACTTCCAGTAACTTTATGTGTAATGAATGTAACTGTCTGTATTATTTTTTGGATAGTTTGTTTTTAGATACATATTTACAAATACATATTTACAAATTTATTTTTAAAGAAATAAGGTAATTATGTGTATATCAAATATTGTAATAATTAATGAGTTAATTAGTTTCTGAGCCTGTACGAAAATGTATGGCCCTAATTAGGCAATTTTTTAATAATGGGCAATTTAATATTGTTATTATTGTATTTTATTTTATTTTTTGTAGTGCTAAATTTATTCTGCTTTGTCTATAAAGAATTTGTATTTTTGTGACAATAAAGCTTATTGAATCTTGATACGGAGAAAGACAGCTATTGATTGACACAAACCAAGGATTATCATTATCATTAAAATATTCCTCAGTTCTATAGTAGGCCTTTTCAATGAGAAACGTCTTGAGCATTTTTCTAAAATGCTTCGAGCCCCTCGCGTTTCTAATCACGACGGGAAGGTGGTTGAATATTTTTCTTCCCTCATAAATAATTGACCTTTGCAACAGTGCGCTTGAGGAAACCGGCAATGGAAGGTCGTGAATTTGCCGAGTGATGCGTATACGAACAGGATCCCTGTCATTTCTGGGATTCTTAAAAATAATCGAAGCAGTTTCAAGAATGAAGAGACTAGTAAGAGTAAGAATCCTCTGAGAAATAAAATGGGGTCTGCATGAATCTCTGTAACCAGCATTACTAATAGCACGAACAGCCTTTTTCTGCAGAATAAAAATAATATTGAGTAGATTCTGGGAAGCCACACCCCAGAATGGAATGCCATAGCGTAGGTGGCTTTCGAAAAGAGCAAAGTAGACTGTCTGTGCTACTAGTAAACCAATTAGATTATATCCATGAACCGTCATTATGGAAGTATATACGAATAAAACATAGGCGCAAAGAGGATTGCCTATTATATTAAGTGCCGATACCCTTGTGACGACACTACAGATGCGCGCCTTCCTTTTGTTATGCTGACTACGTTTATTTCATGCGTTGTATCCGGATACTTACCTTGCGTTCGGTATTTTGCTCAAAGAGCAGAGCGTGCTGAGCGGAGCCGTAATCACGTGATCAGTGAGCGAACAGAGCAGTTGAACGCTGAATAAAAGTGCCAGAAATTTCAATAAACGAACGCGAATGAGGCTGCACCGAGTACACTTTTTAAATAAACGAACGGTAAAGTCAAGCTCGGAGAACTCGGACCAAAATAACGAACGCACGGTTAGTGGATTGGATTAATAATGGGGATTATTAATCCGGAAATAAACACCCAGGAAACGAGAGTTTATCCGGATTGGAGTACTTAATCCAATCCTCCAAATTTGTAGGAATGGACTTAAATTGGATCATCTCAAATGTGAAATAAACTCCTCCATCTCGGATTTAAGAAGTTTGTTGCTAATTTCAAGAAAAAATCACATTCGTCATTTGTAATTTTTTTGAGGATTGATTGATGTTATTTAGTTTTATTTGAATATTTTTTGATGAAAAACTGGTGTGAGATAAGAAAATGTTTACCCTGTTGTTGATGGAAACTATTTTTCATCACTGTTGCCTTTAATGAAGTTAGACACAAACGACACAAAGCAATTTGCGCTTGCGCTTTCAACAAGGCCTGAGAAAGGATTAACACTAATCTTAATCCATTTAATAATAGTTGTGAAATACAGGAATATGGATTAATAATCCTTAATCCACTCAGTATCCAGATACAACCTGTGAAATAAACGTAGTCACTATTTATACATTTGTGTGCTCTGATTTTTTTTTATTATACTCGTGAACCGTCATTATGTAGGTATAATGAAATTATTATAATATTATTAAAAATGATATTAGAGACAGAGCAAAATAGCCATTGATTGCCACAAATCGAGGATTATAAGCGCAAAGGGGATTGCCTATTATTCTCCAACGCCGATGCCCTTGTGACGTCACTACAGATGCGCGGCTATCATCATTGTGTTTTGAGATTATTTTTGTTATTTATGTCCTGTGCTTTTTTTTTTAAATTTATTTGAATAACTTCAAAAATAAAGAAATTATGACAATTTAAAATGTTATCAAGATAAAATGACCACACTGTACTGTTGTATTTTTTTTGAAATTCCCTCTCATTCCCTAGTTTTTAAGAAGTTTATTGCTTTGATTTTCTTCTTTGAGTTAAAATTAAATGCAGAATAAACTACCTTTTTCAACTGGCACAAACTCGGCTACATCAGGATTCAAATTTTCAGTGTGATGCATAGCAAGGCGGTGTCTGGCAACTGGTGGAGGTGGCAACAATTTACTGATCAAATCTTCCTCTTTTTCGCTACCGTTATCAAGAATAGGCCATTTAGCTGGATCGTGTTTAGCTCGGACCTAACAAAAGTATTTTCAGCTGCAAGTCATAAGCATTTATTAAAAAATAACTAATACCTTAAATAATCCCAGAGTTAGTTCCAATTTGTCAGAGGAACTTATTGCATCCATAATCAAAGTAATACTATTTGTTAATGCCTGAACCCTGTGAAAGGAAGCGATTAGGGTAATCGGCAAGTAGCCCTCGGGGTCCATTTTCCTTCTCAAGAAGAAATCTCGATTCAGGTTATCTTCGCTGAAGTAATATTCACTACAAAAAAAAATATATACATTTTTTATTCAGTCATCGAGGTAAAGTCCTGAAAATGCTGCCTAGCATTAAATTGTGCATTAATTGCCTATTCTATCAAATTACCAAATAGTTGTGGGCAGAAATTTGTTTGTTTTTCGTTTTAATTGCTAAAAGTCATCTTCTAAATTATTATTATAGTTTGAAAATAGAAGGTGAGAGCTTCAAGTAGGAAATTTGTAAAGAACTGGAGTAAAACACACAGTCTATCTTCACTCTTTATTTTATAAAAATATAATCAGTTGAAAGGGGGGGTTGAACATGTTTCGGATCTATCATAGATCCATCATCAGCATGAATTCAAATGGTAGAGGGGAATATGGTCACATATGATATGCCTAAGCATTAATAGTTATACATAAGTAAGTGTTCATGCTGTATTCAGCATAAGGTTGGTTGCTCATGCCGCATTCAACACAAAACATAAAGTTACAACAAAAAGGCGAAGGTCGAAAAAAAAGTAATTATTATTTTATTATAAACATTTGAAAAAATTTAATTGGGCTGCCACACAAACACAGAATATGCCTATAGGAGGCGGAATTCTGGACACTCATCTGAACTGGATGTTCGTGGGTGTTGCTTATTAATTAAATTCTTCTTCAATTTTTTTATTATTTTTTTTAAATCGGACTTTCTGCACGAGGAGTTACATACTGTCACAATAAGCTAAACGTCCGCCAGGCTGTCAAGAATCTCTCGGTATTATCTCTTGAGTATACTAGAATCTAGTGAATTATTCTACTTAATTCGGGAAAATAATATTATCGTGTATTCTAGATTTTACAGGAATAGATTTAGGGATATATAAGAAGGCCGGCATTGGTTTGTAGTTTAGTTTCAGTTCGAGTGTGATACGATTTAAATAGTGATTGTAAAGAGTTGAATTGTTGAGTTTGTTAATAAAGTAATTAGTGTCAGAGTGTTTTGTTAAGTGGAATAAATTATTGCTGTGTTAATTGGGCTTTGATTTTTGGAATAAACGAAACGAACAACGAACCCAAGAATTTTGTCAGCAGGCAACCCAAAGCCGCGACAATACTTACTCCTCGTACGATCAAAAAAAATTGAAGAAGAATTTAATTAATAACCAACACCCACGAACATCCAGAGTCCAGATGAGTGTCCAGAATTCCGCCTCCTATAGGCATATTCTGTGTTTGTGTGGCAGTCCAATTTAATTTTTTCAAATGTACATAATAAAATAATAATTACTCTTTTTTTTGGATCTTCGCCTTTGTTTTGTAACTTTATGTTTTGTGTTGAATGCGGCATGAGCAGCCAACCTTATGCTGAATACAGCATGAACACTTACTTATGTATAACTATTAATGCTTAGGCATATCATATGTGACCATATTCCCCTCTACCATTTGAATTCATGCTGATGATGGATATATTATAGATCCGAAACATGTTCAACCCCCCCTTTCATCTGATTATATTTTTATAAAATAAAGAGTGAAGATAGACTGTGTGTTTAACTCCAGTTCTTTAACTATTCTCTTCACTGTGAGACATGGACTACTATCTCAAAATAAGAAATTTGTTGTACAGGGTCGGCTGGACACTCCCAACATGAGACATTCATTTCTCAGCGAGATTTCCTGGATAAACATTCATATTCAATTTGATTGTAATAATGTTTCCACAGCAAGCACTGTTGGTTGCTGAAGAAATTGATATTTTTCATCTCTTGTGCGTGTTTCTTTAAATTCATGCTCTAGCGGACAATAGGGGCCTTTAATACACGAAAAGCAATAAAAAATAGATTTGTTCAAATTCAGTTTTCAGAATATTTCGTAAGGAGTGAAAAGTAAACCGCGAATACATCGTAAATTTACGTTGGGTGCATAATTGCTTCACTACCGAATGTCTGGCCTACGCCACATTTAGTAGGTAGTAGTAATGGCTACTGTTGTCTATTCTCTGTACATACACATCTGCCACAAGTGAAGTGAGGTTGTGGCGATAGGCTGTGAAAGTGCCAGAAATATGGCAAATTATGATATTTTTTGATGCAGATACATGGATGCAACCGGGAATGAACAATATTTTGCAAGATTTCAGTAAGATAATTAAATAAATTAATAAATGAAAATTGCAAATTCAAACAAAAAATCACGTGACTGACAACGCCGTCTCATTGGCTGCAACCGATATTCATGATGTTGCCACATTTAAAAATACCAAAGAACATCTCACACTTCTTATGGATTTCGATCACCGACAGATTTTGTTAAAAGTTTAGTATAGTATTTTGGAAGTCGAAATAAGCATTTTCTTTCATTGCACCTACCTTGCAGCGATACAGGGTGATACCAAAAAATTCGGTCAAAGATTTTCAATTTTTATTACTGTAATAGTATATTACATATCGAGTAGGGAAGTGTTTGATTACTGTCGAGAGATTTATATACTCAATCGAGATGCGAAGCGTCGAGATTGACAATTAATCTCCAGACAGAAATGAAAACTTTTCTCTAAGGTTTGTATACTATTTTATTTGCAAGCACACTGTTAATTGAAAATTAGTTAATCCATTAAAATTAAAAAAAAACATGCCAGAATCTGTCATTTATTGTTTTGACGTTTTTACCTGACATGTTTTCATTGTTGCCAGCAAAGATAAATAAATTACAGTAAGGGAAATCGGTGAGGGAAATCGAAGAGGGAAGTAGACACTTCCAAAATTTTAAAGTCATTAATGTCAAGATTACATATACATAGGTTTGCAAATAAAATATTGTAATTTAACTTTGGTAGATAAAATCAGGCAATTTTTTTCATATTCCATGAAAGTGATATTATTTTAATTCCTAGCATGAACAGGTTGTCCCATTTTGGTTGTACATATGAGATATTTTGGTTGCTATTGGAGTTGGAAGGATGCGGTTTTCGCAAATGTTGGCTACTTTTTTGTTAAACGAAAGATGCCGTCAACAAAATTGTCATTGCCCTTTTAGTTTTTCAGATACAAGTTGTTTTTGAAGATGTTGCATTTCAGGACAACCCTTGTATCTCGGTTCTCTCATAACTAATCGAAGAGGTGACAACGGGTTTTTATATATCATCTTACGTAGATTCCAGTGGCGGAGTCAGTTTGGGAGGTGATAGTTTTTAAATTATTAGCCAAATATACGTTTTTTCACATAAGTATTTTAATAACTCATTGGCTAGCTCTGCTTTTGCTTATTTCAATGATACAAAGTTCGATACGTAAGTATACCGGGTGACCACGAGATTACTGACCAAGCTCTAGTTCAGGCATGGATATCAATAACGATTTCAAGTTTTGAGGATGTATATTATTGATATCGATGCAGAATTTCGCTATAAAAACAATCGACTATCGCTTTTGGTTTGACCGCAAGTGCCATCAACTTCTTTATTTCAACTAGATCACCCCCTATATTAGTACATTTTTGGATTCTATGAGAAATTCTAAGCATATTTTATGTATAATATCCTATACCTAACTTAAACAGTTTTCAAGAAAATCGCGATTGAAAATGTCAAAAAATAATTTTTATTTTAGTTTTGACAGCAAACAATGGAAAGAAGGTTGAAACTTTTACGATATTTTTAACTCATTTTAGAAGCACTAAAGGGTCCCACCACAAAAATATCAGTTCCGGTTCAATCGAAGGTTTTCGGTCGGTCTACTTTTGAGGTTATGTTACTGCAATAATTTCAATGGTATCCCATACTTAGAACTGAAAATTCGTATTCTAGGAACAATTTTGAATCTTTTTTGTATACGCTTTCCTATACCTAAAGTCTACTGTTTTTGAGATATTTTACAGTATTGTTCACGTTTGCGTCCCTAACTTTTTGGACTATTTGCGACCTTTGGGTAACAGTGCAAATCGGGATTCAAGGAACACAACAAATGAGACTTATGTTTTAAACTGCATTCTGTGTGATCTATTTAAATAAACTTATAAAAAGGATTAAAATTAATGCTGTTAATACTGTTTTTGGTATTCGTTGTTCCAAAGACATCCTTACATCAAGTGTCAAATATCTCAAAAACAGTAGACTTTAGGTATAGGAAAGCGTACACAAAAAAGATTCAAAATTGTTCTTAGAATACGAATTTTTAGTTCTAAGTATGGTATACCATTGAAATTATTGCAGTAACATAACCTCAAAAGTAGATCGACCGAAAACCTTCGATTGAACCGGAAGTTTTATTTTTGTTGTGGGACCCTTTAGTGCTTCTAAAATGAGTTAAAAATATCGTAAAAGCTTCAACCTTCTTTCCATTGTTTGCTGTCAAAACTAAAATAAAAATTATTTTTTGACATTTTCAATCGCGATTTTCTTGAAAACTCTTAAAGTTAGGTATAGGATATTATACATAAAATATGCTTAGAATTTCTCATAGAATCCAAAAATGTAATAATATAGGGGGTGATCTAGTTGAAATAAAGAAGTTGATGGCACTTGCGGTCAAACCAGAAGCGATAGTCGATTGTTTTTATAGCGAAGTTCTGCATCGATATCAATAATATACATCCTCAAAACTTGAAATCGATATTGATATTCATGCCTGAACTAGAGCTTGGTCAGTAATCTCGTGGTCACCCGGTATCTTCAACAGTTTTTGTGAAATTTTTTTTATCTGTTTTTGTCATAGGAAACAATGTGTTCCAAAGAGACCTTCCTCATTTTACTTACAGATATAGAGTCCTTTTTTAACACATTGTTTCTTATGACAAAAACAAACATAATAGAGATAAACCTATCGAACTTTACATCATTGGAATCAGCACAATCAGAGCTATTCAATGAGTATTATTATTATACAGGGTGTCTCATCTGAAAAAAAAACTTATGCTTGGTTCATAATGCAAAAACTATCACTTCTACACAAATTATATTTTCAGGTTTTCTTTCGCGACCATTCCTCTAAAATAATTAGTTTGTATCTGACTAATGGTTTTTCAAATCCTAAT